AGCTCAGATTTTTAGGGTCAAGCCAGAAAATCTGTCTGTGTCATATGGCCCATGAATGTTCAGTGAGCCGTAAAATGCACTCTTGGGGAGTCCATTTTTACTTGCTAAGAATTAATCCTTTAAGAACATCATATTGTCATGGAGATTGATAATTATATATGAAAAGTTAGGCTCTGGGGAAGTCGTGAAAATAATAAGAAATAGGCTCCCCATTTTTTTTCTCAGCATTTTCTGTCCAGAAGAATGGTTTGCTTCCTTTAATAATTAGAATGTCTTTGCTATAAACTTTTTTGTTGATTGCTTCCAATTTAATGATAAGTTTGTCAGAGTTAGAGATGTTTAGTATACTTTGACACTTCCATCTGGAAGAGTTCTTAACATTTATCATATGCTTAATAGTTAATTGTTTATTGAAAGATAAATAAATGACAGAGAAAATTAAAATACATTGGATCTCTGTATTAAATATATCAATGAATAACTGGAAAAACTTGTCATTTAGGAGAAAGTGAAGGAAAGGCAAAGAGTGCATTCTGTCATGGCTATCAGGAGGAACCCACTCTCACACCTTGATCTTGGGCTTCTTTCCTGCACAACTGTGAGAGAGCCAATTTCTGTTGTTTTAGCCCCTAAGCTTGGCTTGCTGGTTATGGCAACCTTAGTAAATGTGGAATAGGGACTTTGGTTCTGAAAGGCGATAGAATGATTGGGGACTAATTCAATGTTTAAGATATTTCCTTTCATACTTGATTCAGTTAACTCAGGGACATGTGTCTCCTTTATCAAGTGCAATTAGAAAACATGAGTAGCTAGGGAAGTGTTGTGTGTATGTTTGTACATGTGTGTGTAACATAAGGTTAGACAAGGGGGTGTGTGCCTGAGAAATCTGGACCAAGTTCATAATGTTTTACTTTGGGAAGGCCCTAGTTCTCCAGAGTTCAACAGACCTTATTCAGTTTTCATCATTAAGTAGGGGTTTAATAAGGTATGTTTCCAATCCATGTTTGCTTCTCTAGTTTTTAATGAAGAATGTTAGTAAGTTCATTTGGAATCCAGGGACATCCAAACTTAATTTAACAATGGAGCTCTATGCCCATTAATAAAAGTCAAACCAATGAGCCATTGATTCTTGACTAAGAAGGTAAAAACTGTAAATTTTTGAGAATACCTGTGATTGAGATCTTTTTATTCACATAAAATAAGATGAAGAAGTCACTCTTGATGATTCTTTCGGGGGTTTATTCCTGCTCAGTATTGTTTCAGTACCCAAGTGAAAGATAAAATGGAAGTGAAGCATTGTTCTTATGGCTTCTATATTGAATTTTTAGAATAATTTTTTTCTATAATTTAGGTAGGTCTTTGTTGCCACACTGAAAAATATGCATAAAACCATAAAAACAATAAAATGACAGTCCTGCAGTGGTTGAGGAGGAAAGTTTTTTCACAAACGTTTGAAAGAACTTCCTTGAGAATTTGTCTTCTCATCAACAGAAATTGGAAAAGAATTAGGAAACCAACGTTGGGCATTTCAAGTTAGGTGGAGTGGAAGCTGATTGCATGATTTTTATTTTTCTTCTAGTGCTATTGCTTTCCCACATCCTACTCTAACTCTTTTTAAACTTCATAGTTGTCATTTAGAGCAGGGGCCATTTTTAGACACACATTAACCTGCTATGAAGACAGCTGCCTTGGCATTTGGGGCTTCTGTGGGAAGGCATGCCTCAGCCACAGGCAATTCCTGTTGGCATTTGTACTAAGGCAGCATCTAAGACTATCCTGTTCTTCAAAGTAGAACAAAACACATGTTTTCATAAAAGAGAGTGCTCATTTAGTGAATAACCATCCACATCAAAGTGGGGGCAGAGAGTTTACACCTTATAATGTAATAGGAAGACACATATTTATGTCCACCTATTTTTATATTCATTTAATTGAAATAGATTAGATTCCCAGCATAAATTTGTAGCTCTGTGTTGGTAGAATAATCCTTAAGTCATTGGTAAGATTTATGAAAACAGTAAACATGGAACAAATACTCTATATGTGCAATAAAGAATAAAAAACTTCAGAGGAAAGCCATATTTTGGGGACTTGGGGGATTACTCACTCTAGTCTTGCACTAGGCAGTCCATCAATCTCAATTACAAATTACAGATTTGATTTATTTTGTCAATTTATACAATTTAGAATGCTTTCTTGATCTTTTCAAATAGGTACAAAGATAACACTATCTTTATTCCAAGAGTAACTAAAAATGAATTAGCCATCATACATTTTCACTGGAAGGATTTTATTTTTATCATTCTCATTATTCAAATAAATGAAAAAATTAGAGATAACTAAACTAAATTTTTCTGTTTCTATTATTAGTCATGCAAATATTTTCTTTCTAGTTTTGTTTTTTTTTTTTCAGGGTCTCACTACTCAGATCAGACTTGTAGTGATCCTCCTGTTTTCTGCCTCCTTAGTGCTGGGTTACAGGCATGTACCACCATACCTGGAATTTTCTTTCTTATTGAGTTAAAATTTTTGTCAAAATGCTACTAAATACACTTATGTTAGTAAGCTTTTAGGTACTCGTAGGAGTTTTTAATTCACACAATTTGCTATTCAGTGCTGTACATGTATTAGATATTATTAAAATATAGACTAAAGTTTTTTTTTTAGACTAAAGTTTTTAATGGAAGTATGTTTAATAAAATATTTACATAAAACACTCACAAATTCAATGTTTTTCTTATCTTTTTGGATTCAAAATAAAGCAGTTCTAAAAGTTCTTTATAAAGTGCCTGGGGAGTAGAATAACCACTTGCCTGGCAAGTGCAGGGGCCTGAGTTCAATTCCTGGTTCTGCCAAACAAAACAAAAAAACCTGACTCAATGATTGCAAATTCTACCTATGGGACACTGTATAATCCCTGTCTGAATAATTTTGCCAAAAGTTACCATTATAAAATTAGAGATATGTTCATCAAAAAAAAGTTTTGCTTCCAACTCAATGGAAACCTTTAAACAAGATTTAATTCTAAATTTTAAAATG